GGGGGGGGGGGGGGGGGGGGGGGGGGGGGGGGGCAAGAAAAACGTATAAAATGGGGGGTGCACAGTTCAACTGATCCTTAAATCTAGACAATTACATCACTTAATGTAAAAAAAAAATGCAGCAAATACTCCAATTTTGACTTTAGTTTCAAAACAGTAGTTCGATGCTGAAACGTCGGTGCATATCGCATGCACTGTAAAATTGCTGGTATCGTTCAGAACAACTGATTCAATACAAAGACAAAGGAGCTTACAAAGGGGGGAACGAATAGGATTTTAATAAAACTGGTGAAACCTTTGGGATGCATAGTTCGACGCCAGAGCAACCATTAAAAACTCAAGTCGACTATAACTGGTAGGCCGAGGAATTCCACCGTCATCGTCCCTATAGCGATGTATCCCGCGGACATAAAGCAGCAGACGATGGGAAAAATGACGGAAAGAGCGAAATTATTCACAGGTAAGCAGATGCATATTCCTCAGTGAGACACGGCAGAGCAGCTGCACCTTCACTAACCGCCGGTGCAATTCATAATATAGACAGCTTCCATAACATACTGGTTTAAGAGTCCAAGGCGAGAGATCAGGAAGAATTAAATTGGTAAAAACAGTACAGCTATGGAATACGTAGAAACGTACTTCCACAGACCGAACGCGTGATGCAACCCTATCAATTAATATAAGCGCTCATTTCCATATGCTTTCCCTGTAAAAAATCAGAAGACAAATGGACCCATTATTTTAATCATTTTTGCATGAGGCTGGAGAGAAATAACTGTAGGTCTAAATCTATATTTTGATATTTTCATTTAAGCGCGGCTGCAGCAACAAGCAGGCAAGGATAATTTTCTAAAACGATGGCACAAGAAACGTCATTAGAGTTCTCTACATAAGTGTTCAAGGTCTGTTGCGACTGGCTGATGGGAAAAAGCCTTCCCAAAAGATTAGGTCTCCAAAAAACGGATATTTCGTAAACTTTCAAAGTTAGATTATGTCTTACAAGTTCTCATTGCATTAATATTCTAAACAGCAGGTATCACAATGCTGGAGAAGTGATTAATATTTAACTACAGAGTGTATTTCCCTTTCATAGTCATGACCGTTTAAAAAAGTTACTAGGTAAGAAATGTACTTGTGATTTTATTGCATGTAGTTAAAAATCTAAAATAACTACAACTCAAAAGGATCTGTTTCAGTCTGATTGAATACCTGTCAGCAGTAGTGATTACAGATTCCAGATGGCACAATTTTTTTCCACGCTGTACGATTGCGCCACCTACTGGTCAACTAAGATTACAGCAAGAAGCCCAGGCTGACTGTCAGGGTATAATGAACTGCGATGGGTACAGGTAACTAAAAACCAGCTCATTTTATACAGGGAGGAGGTTTGTGAGAGCAGACCTGCACACAGACTCATTCTATGAATATAAAATAATTATAAAATGGTCACTCAACTTTCTAAACTTGGTCACTTTAACTACCAGACAAAAAAAGGCTTTAAAGGACTGAAAACAGTGTTTACACCTAGATTGAGACAGCCCCCCCCCCCCCACCCTCATATCCCAGCTATCCGTTTAAGACTAGCATATAAGGATATGGGCTATAACTTTATTATGTATATATAAATTTATATAGATATAATAGAAAAATAAATAAACAAATACAAATTATTCTATAACTGATAAAATACAGGCAAAAAGGTCAAGTTGCAATTGCCCCACTAAAGCTTTCCTAGTCTTATTATGAAGCACTT